TTCGAGTACTTCTACTATGTTATCAACTGCCTCAACTGCCATGATCAAAATCTTGTTGTTGTCATAGATGGAGAGGTTGAACAAGGTCGTAACTGCATACTCCTGGATTCTTGAATCTTGAGATGCAATGACAGGGTCCTCCACTATGTGAAATTGGGCAACAAATTCATCAAGAATACTAGGAGTAATGGACATGAACTGAGAAGATGAAGAATTATCATGTATTTTATTATGAAAAAATGCAGATAGTGGCTTACTCTCTTCTTCACCTCAATCGTTATCTCCATCTCTGAATATCATGGATTTGGAATAGAAACCAGAGATGTGAGATTGTTTAGATTGGAGACAACAATTAGTCCTCATACACTGTCCAGGATGCTTGGCAATAGGGCCATTGGATTGCAGCAATGGTGATTTGAAAGGTTTGTGGTTGGTGGTTTGTTGCAATAAGCCTTGCAACTTCTGCGTTCATGTCCATTTTTTTAGTGTTAAGGACCAAATAGGGTCTCGATAAATTTGTCAGGGACTAAATAGGGCCTTCGATGCTATGGTCATCTGTCCAAAACTCCAAGAAGACATAAGGCATGTTCAAAACGTCGTCGTATTACTTCCGCGCAGGACTACTTAACGGTGACTCAGCAAACTAACGTTACACATGTGCTCCGTTAGTTGGGCAATTGGATTCTAACTAACAGAAGGACAAACGTGGTACTATTTTTGTAAAATTAAAGACCAAAATGAGCCTTTTTTATTGTTGGGGATCAAAATGGGCTTCACGAAAATTGTCAGGGACGAAAAAGGGTATTTACTCTAACTTTAATTTTAATTTTTGAAAAATTCGTTATCATTTTTGTTTTCTAACTTGTCATAATTTTTTTTTTCATTCACCAAGGATACATTTTGTCTCAAGGAAGACATGTTGGAATTTATGTTGATAATATATACATAATCTATTGATTATGAATAAGAAGTCGGTTAACGAAGAAAAGAAAAAAGGGAAGTTGAATGGGTGTGTGGGTTTAAGAAGTCTCACATTGGACAACTAGTAGGAGGTGGGAGAGTTTATAAGCTCCCACCTCACTCTCCTAATTTGGCCCTTGGGTCACTACATATTTTGTGCAGGGGGAGGAGCTAGGTGGGCTTAGGTCCACTGCACGCGCCGCCCGGCTCAGATAGGTTCGGTTCGTGTAAAATATAAATAATTTTTTATTAAATAATTTTTTTATTTTTTGTCCAAAAATGCCTATTTTTTTAGCGTTCTTTTGAACCGAACTGGTTCTTACCTTTCGCGAACCGATCAACGATAGTGTCTGCTCATCGAATCGGTCACCGATTGTACTTGTTCACCGAATCAGTGACCGGTCGTACCCGTTTGCAGCCGTCAGTCCCGACGGTTTGCCGCCGGCGACTGTTCATTGTGACCGGTCAGTGTCTATAAATAGACCCTGACACCCTTCAAAAATTGATCCGATTTTTTGCACTGAAACTCTGTCGAAATTTTTCTTCCTTCCAGTTTGCATATTTCTGTTCATCCTCCGGTGTACTTCCTCTGGCAATTGTTGTGTTCGTTTGGGTTGTTGACTGGTAATGCCACCACTCTTCAGACGAAATCCGTTCTATCCTGGAGACAAGTGTCCATCAACCTTTGGCATCAGTGATGGGGCAAATTGTCTTAAGGAGACACGTTCTGTGGGCTCAGATTTAATTTCTCATACTGCATACATTCATCTGTCTGTTCCATTATACTGACATCAAGTAAGTATGTTCTAATTCTTCTTAATCGCACTGTGTATGATATTTCTGATCATTATCTCCTTTGTTCTATACATGGCTTCAAATCTCATAGTGATTTAATATTACCCACTGTCTTCAATAACAAGACAATAATTGTTTGAGGAATTGTAATGATACTCCATAGGATAAGATACTTGATATGAGTTATTAAGCAATATAATACCACGTGACAGTATGAGGCAGTATAGTTTTTTGTTAGTCAGAAGCTAGTTAAAATTAGTTAGGAGTTTGTTTTACTGTTAGTTATTTTCCCGCTTTATCCATATCAGTAATCATTCATGTACAACTGATATATAAGACTCTATAATGTACAAATCACATTCATGCAATGAGAAATTCAGTTTCACAAGATTCTATTATGGTATCAGAGCTCAATTAGAGCTCTGGTATTCTGCAAAAAATTTCTTTCTTGTTCTCTTCTTGTTTTTTCCTCTCCTTCTTTCTTTTACTGTAACCATGGCAAATCCAATTCCAAATCTTCAAGAATTCATAACAAATCCTTCCAATCAATATTATCAACATCCAAATGAAAATCCTTCACTGATATTGGTATCTCCTCCTCTCAATGGAAGAAATTATCATACCTGGGTTCGAGGAATGAAAATGGCACTGCGATCTAAAAATAAGCTAGCAATTGTTGATGGTAGCTTGGTGGTACCTATTGAAGAAGATCCATTATTCCTAGCATGGGATAGATGCAACACTATGGTCCTTTTCTTAGATCCACAAACCAATCGACGAATCAATAGCTCAATCCATATTATGGATGGATAAAGCCATTGATGTATGGAATAACCTCAAAGAAAGGTTTTCTCAGAACGACATATTCAGAATCTCTGATTTGCAGGACGACATTACCAAGATTCATCAAGGAGACTGAACATTATTATAATATTTCACACATCTCAAAACATTGTGGGATGAACTAGAAAGCTTACAACCTCTCCTAACTTTTTTTTGTAGTGCTCTTAATCCAATCCAATCAAAGAAATTCGAGAACGTGATTATGTCATCAGATTTCTCAAAGGACTGAATGAACAATTTGAGCATGTGAAGACACAGGTAATGTTACTGGAACCACTTCCAAATATTAACAAAATGTTCTCTTTGATAGTACAGCAAGAAAGACGTTTGAATCTTGGAGTTAACTCAAACGAGCCAATAGAAAACCAAGCAATTAGCAATCTAGCTGAACAACAAAGACTTGCATTTTGAAATCGTGGTGAATGTTTCAATGCTGAAAGATTTAATGCAGAACGTGGACGTGGTAACAAATTTTGTGTTCATTGCAATGGAACCCTGTCGTAGCATCATGTGGAGATATTCTTAGGGATCCAATGGAAGATGGCTGAAAGGGTTCTTTTACAGAATCGGTAATTGCTCCATTCTCACCTGTAAAGCACGGACATGCAAAATTTTATGAAAAATGCATGTATACGCTCTGACACGCGGTCAATATTTTGGGACATGTGGTAAACGCTTCGACACGCGGTCAACTTTTTTCGACACACGGTCAACACTCCAACACGTATCCGACATTTTTTTTTATTTTTAGGTCTAAATTTTATTTTATTAACTAAACATGAAAAAATAATTTATAAGTCAATTTTTTTCTGTTATAGAATTTGACATGAAAAATCAACAAGGTACGAAAAAATTATTTTTTGTTTATATTTATTCTATAGAATTTAAATATTTGATTGGTTATATGATTTATTATGAGTTGTTATATGTATTAAATATAAATTATATTATATATATTAAAATTTATTTAATATCACAATGTATCCTAATATGTCGAAACATGATATTTTTTAGAATTAACGTGTCAGCGTGTTGTGTCGTGTCCCGTGTCATTGTCGATGCAACATAGATCCTCACAACTGGGCAAAAAAATTAATTAGTTGCAATTTAAATAAAAAATTACGAACATATTGCTGTTTTGAAATTATTTACGCGTGTATTGTAGTGTGTCACGCCCGGATTGAGAGTCACCAGTCATGCCTAAATTAGGCGTCACCCACGAGGCACTCACGCCTAATTTAGCATGACTCGTCTGGTACTGACACGTGTCACAGAAAATTAACAATTTAACGTAAAATTTTGGAAGACCTAACATTTGACTCGGGTATCCGAATCAGATAATTCTTTTTTGATTCCAAATAAATTTTCGAGATCTACACCTCATTTGACATATTTTATTTCTTACAAACAAAATTTTAATTTGCAACAATGAGACATTATCTTGTAAGTCATGGTTTGAAATTAATGATGGATTAGTCCATCTATAAATAATAATACTTAATGTCATAGTAAAATATATACTTTCTACCAAGTGTTTGAAAAAAATAATGTATAATATTGTGAGAAAAGAAAGTGCCACAATATAAAAGTGTGAGAGATTAGTGAGAATATAATGTTCTTTAAGGAATAAATAATAAAATTTTGAAATTTGACACCAAATCTTAACCGTTGATTTCCGTCAATCAACTATTATAATTTTCCCTAATCAAACTTATTAATTAATTATTAATTTTCAATAAATGGTAACCGTTGATTGATGAAAATCAACGGTTAAAATCCGGTGTCAAAAATATATATTTATATGTTTATATATATAATTTAACAATAAACATAATATATAAGTTATAAGTTATAACCATTAAAATAGCAATGATTTTATTTTATTTTTTGAAAAAGAATATTGATCCAAGATATTTTGACTAATTCTCCGACAATTCTTTGCCAGTCTGGTTATATGGATTTATTGGACTGTGTTCATTATTTTTTTGGTCTAATCCGTCCACTTGGTCTTTTTTCCCCCAAAAAATCATTCATTTTCGCTTTCTAATTTGTGTACCTTTCTTTGCATTGACCGATGATACTTTTTGTCTTAGGGACGACAATAATTTTTCGAAGAATTATTATGATGCTCTATACGATACTCAATATGAGTTGTTAAGTATTTATTAAATACAAAGGACGAGTATTGATCAAATTATGCCCCTCATTGTTTATTATTTTATTTTTATCTTTTTGTGTGGTTTTTTTGACTTGATGGCAAACGACAATTGTATTCAATCGAAAAGCCCAAAATACAAAGCAAAATAGACCCAAAAAATGATGCTTGGTCCAAAAAATTAAGTTCAATCGAAAAGCCCACACATCGCACTAACGTTTGCACGTTTCACAGTAGAAGAGGGAAGACACCGATGAAGTTGCGGCTATAGTGCTCCTCTGAAGACTGAAGCTGCTTTTGGTTGTGGGTTTGGTTCCTCCACGGGATTTTGTTTGTCTTTGATTCTCCCTAAAGGTGCCCATAATCAACTATGATTTTTTGTTTTGTAACAATCAACAATGATTTTTGTCATATGTTCCTTTTCTCTGTCTATGTTCTGTCTTGGCTTAGTTATTTTCGGTTTCATTCAGTACTATTGTGATATTTTTTGGGACATCTAAAATACGGCAGAGGAATTAGCAAATGAGATTGAAAGCCAGACATTAATTTAATAAATTATTTCCCGTTCAATCGTTTCTGCATGAGCTTGTGTCAAATTCTCACTTTTATTACTCTCATGTTTTTTATTCCAGATTTTGTAATAATTTTCCAATGGGGTGTGCGTGGTCTAAATTTGTGTTAAGCTTGATCCAAGACAGTTTGATAACTCATGTTATATGATGCGTAGTTGGTGTTGAGCTAGTTGGGGAATCAGTTGGTATTAGCATGGATATAGCACATTGCTATTTAAATGGTAATGCTGATGCTGTGGAGTTTTGTCCACATAATTCACACCACAATGTTTTAGCTGCATCTACTTACACGCTACAAGAAGGTGGTGAGCCTAGCCGACTTGGAAGCATTTCACTCTTCAATGTTGATGTGGACACAGGCCACCTTGACATGGTTTGTAGTGAGGATACTTCTGGGATTTTTGATATAAAGTGGAATCCACCCGGAATGCATGCCAATCCTTTTTTGGCTCAAGCAGATGCTGATGGATACTTGAGGATTAAAATGCTGGAGGGTTGCTGTAATGGAGTGCAAGGTATGGATGGATTTTGTCCTTGATTCACTTCTATAACACTATTTTATGTGGGGTGTACAAGCATAATACTAGGAATTGTTGTTCGGTTCTCATCTGATAAATTGTCAGTGGAAATCACCTGCAGACACATATTCAGTGACAGTTCACTACTTCACTGGGAAAGTATAAAAATGTCAACCTTAACATTTACATCTTTATTAACAGAGATTCTAAAAAACACACCATGACACTGATATTTGTGACATCCTTATATCATGTTTGGTTCCCATTTTTGGCTATTTCGAGGATCATAATCTGTTTCTATTTTATTACCGTCTATTTCCAAATGGAAGGTTTTATTCCTAGTATTGAATGCTTAAATATACTTACACCTATTATATGACCTTATAAAATTTTCAATTACCTGTTAATTTTGTTAGTTTGGCAGTTGTTTTTTAATTATAGAACTAAGATTTTGTTTCTCTACATGCAAAGGAGATGTCAGAAATTGACAGCTAGCTGGATATGCTATTAGTCATTTTTCGGGAGGATTGGTTGTCTATTAAATATATTAATGCGACCCCTTACATTACAGTTAAATTTTAGCTGGATATGTTTCTTGTTAGCGGCAGAGTCTTGCATTTTTGTCTAGATACTGACATTTATTGACGGACTCATGCAGGACATCATATTCACTTATTTTCAAGTTTGTATTTTGCTAAAGAGATATGCTCTCATTCTTTGACCCAGTTTTATTATATTAAGATTTTTTATTGATTCTATGGCAGGGACTTATCTAAAAGAGATGACAAGTGAAAAAATCAGTAGCTCTATGTGTCTGTACCTGGATTGGAACCCTTCAGCCACATCCATCACAGTTGGGCTTTCTGATGGCTCCGTATCTATTGTTTCTCTTCTTGAATCCAAGCTGGAAATACAGGAAGAGTGGAAGGCACATGATTTTGAACTTTGGACAACCTCCTTTGATATCCACCAGCCAAATTTGGTATATACTGGCTCTGATGACTGTAAGTTCAGTTGTTGGGATTTGCGGGATAGTCCTTCCAATCTGGTATTTCAGATCTCTAAAGTCCACAAGATGGGCGTTTGTTGCATTGAAAAGAGTCCTCATGACCCAAACAGCTTATTAACTGGCAGCTATGATGAATTCTTGAGGGTATGGGATTTGAGATCAATCTCAAAACCTGTTAACGAGACTTCAATCAGCTTAGGGGGAGGAGTTTGGAGGGTGAAGCACCACCCCTTCATTCCAGGGTTGGTCTTGGCTGCCTGCATGCACAATGGTTTTGCAATTGTTGTCAGTAAAGGTGACAAAGCTGAAGTTTTGGAAACTTACAAGAAGCATGATTCCCTTGCATACGGAGCAGACTGGCAGAAAGGAGAAGCAAATCACAGAGGTGGGAGAACCAAACCACTGATAGCTACTTGCTCATTCTATGACAAACTTGTCAGGCTATGGAGGCCAGGAAATGATATTATCTTGTAGGTTCATGCTTAACATTAGGCCCTGTTTGGAAATGTAATGCATGACTGTTTATTTATTGAATCATGGTTAAAATGAAAATATGACACTTTCGTTGGCTACTAATCATTATTTCAAAAAGGGATAATGATGGTCGTGCAGCTATTGACCTATGTAGTATAGCATGCTCGATATAGTTGACATTTATACTGATGGTCGTGCAGATATGTATCACGGTATCAAGACATTTGTCTGCAATATTTGACCTCAACCGCTACCATGGTTGACTAGCAAACAATATTATTGACGTGGCTTAGAGGAGAGTTAATTTTAGAGAATAATATAAATCATTAAAATTTCAACAGATTTAGAATTGTTAAATTTATTGTCAGTGTAATAATTTAATGATTGACTTTTTTGTAAAAATTTTCAAAAAAATAATGCTCAGATATAAATAATCATTTTAATAAATTGATCAAATTAGTATTATTATTTTGTATAAAATAAAATTTTACTAATATATCGCTTTTTATTAATTTAAATACATTATTTGCTTTTCATTGAAAAAGCCTAAAAAAGGGTGATTTTACTCCCAAAATTGATGCAATTATTTTTTTATTTGTTTATTTTCTGTGAATGCAAAAAAATTGTCATGCATAAGTCAACATATACAGCTCTTAATTTTCACAATTAAAATTCTTCACTCTTTTTATTAAAATAAACCAGCCACTTCAATAAAATTCTAGTTGGGTTAATTAACAACTGCACACCGTTTGTTTGCAGTAAGGTGTTTATGTTGTTAATCATATGAGTTTTCCCTTTTTTTCTTTTTTGGTAATCAATGAATTATCTTTCCTATTTATCTTGAGATGATATATTACATGGGATTTGATAAAATGCGATTTCCGAAGATTTCAAAATATATCGACATAAATTAAAATAATTATTTATATATTAATTATTATTTTTTTGGAAAATTAGCAAATAAATAGAAAAATTAATCATTGATTTTCATTATTAATAATAAATTTAATTTTTGTAATTTGTATGAATATTAAAATACCACGATATAAATACATATTACTTATTCGATTAATTACTATTTAAATTAATTAATTTAATAACCAAATAATAATGCCAATTTAATGTAATTTATATAAAGAGAAATAAAAAAAGTGAGGAATGATTGAAAGAAATTTAGTACAAACGATTATGATAAGTTCAACAGGTTGTGGCAACGGGATCAATCGCACTGGGCCTACTAGTTGGATTGGTACCGCTGAATCATCATATTTTATCACGCGACAAAACATAATAACGGAACGTAATGCGTGGCACATTGGGAAAGTTTTCACCCAACGTGCAATTAACAAAGATTTGAAAACACAATAATATTAATGGAGCTTTAAATACATATTATAGATGCCCAATGTCCCCTCTCCAGTCCCCACCATTAGCACTACGCAAAGATTAGAAAATGATGTATATTCACCTGACATGTTATTCTGTGAGATTTTTGCCCCAAGAGATCAACTAAATCATGCTACTCCGAACTAGAGAATCCTACCCGGATGGAAAATCTTTTATGATTTAAATTTTGTTTTGATAATCATATATTTATTTCAAGAGAATGAAAAACCATGCTAAAATTGTTTCTTTGTGATAAGAGGGTTTTACATTCTAAAAAATAATTTCTTCACAAATCTCGCCTCTATTCTCATAAGAATTATTTTTTAACCATATACTTGTTTTATTTATTTTTTGGGATTGATGTTTGACCTTCTAAAGGACATAACATTATGTCATTTTAAGTGAGGAAAAACATATACAATAAAAATCATAAAGACAGAAAGTGAGTATTTTCTTAATTTAAATTTAAATAAAAATATTAATTTTAACTAAAATAACCATTATTTAAATGAATAAATATTTTTTCTTATTTTTTTCATAATTTTTATTAATAAAAGACTTATAGATCCGTTTGGATAAGTTTTTTGAAAAAAAAAAATAGCACTTCTCACAGTATTAAGATAAAAGTATTTCTCAATTAAAATGACATAACTAATATTATTTTATTATCATAAAGAGATGTAATCTACACCTTTATCTTTTTTGTCTACTCTCTCTTCTCTATGATTTATTTCTTTCTCTTACTTAAAACAACACAATTTTATACCTCTTAAAATGATACACACTTGTTATAAAAAAAAAAAAATGATACACACTTCTCCCTAATATAATGAATATGTTTTAGTAAAATTTATTTAATAAGTAAATAAATAAAATTATCAAAATACTCTCAGAACGACCGTTTTAGATGGTAAGAAATAATTTCATCTTTTTGAGAAATATTTTATCCATTTCATATTTAAATTTAGGGGCGGGATCATCTTACACCGGTGTAAGAATAATAAATCTTACACCAAATATTAACTATTGATTTTCTGCATCTAACGATTAAGATTTATTAAGTCTCACTCATTAATTAATTTTTAATTTCCAATAAATCTCAACCGTTGGATGCACGTGAATCAATAGTTAAGATTTCACGTAAAATTTATTATTCTTACACCATAACCCTTAAATTTATTATTTTTCATAATTATGTTCATGAATGTTCATCACCAAATCTCGCTTTACATTCAGGACAGAGGCCACGGGAGCCCTAAGTATTGCTAGCAAAAGTTTGAGGCACATTATCTATCACCATCTTTGTAATATACTAATATCTATCACCATCTCTTTCATTGTTTTTAAAATTAAAAATTGCCTTTTGTTCGTTGTCATTGTTGAGGGTTCTCTTGGACGGTGCCCACTGCTAAAACCTTTTTTCTGACAGAATCAATTCCCTTTGTTGTATAAAACACAACAAAGACATCAAAGTCCATAAGGTACATGAATAAGAACCAGGGACTTGAATTTTGAATATAAATGATTGTACATGATTACTTCCTTTTAACTCTCTGAGCCTCACTTGCTGATGCAATATTTCTCTTTAAACATCTTTTGGATTTTTAATTCAAACAAACCCATATCATTTGGAGTGTCTGTTTAAAGTATTGTTGTTGTTGTTGTGAGTGTGTGTGTGTTTTTACAGTTATGTGTTTTTTTTAAAAACCTTAAATTTGATATCATTTAGGTTTTTGATGCGGTTTTATTGATGGGTTTTTGTTAAAATGTCTGAATAAGCTATTTTTTTATTGTCTTTATGTAGATTAGAAGAGAGATATTTGAAATGTGGGATTGTTTAGAGTTTGATAGTATAATGTGTTGTGTTGATAATAATTTTCTTTCAGTTTGTTTCTTGTAAGTTGTAACATATTGCTTTTTATCAGGTTGGCTTTAGAGGCCATTATTATATTTGAATAAAAGGCACTATGGTAGCCAAAATCCGGCAAAGTGCTACTGACTCTCCTAATCCAACAAAACCAGAGGTTGGAGAGATTGACACCAGTCCACTTTTTCAATCTGTTAAAGATTCTGTTTCTCTATTTGGTGAAGGTGCTTTCTCTGGTGAAAAATCTGTCATTAACAAGGCAAGACCTTATTCTGCTGAGGTAAATCTGGTTTTTGTATTTATATGTGTTCTAAACTATAAATCCCTTATGGTAATTGTAAATCTGTGTCTGAAGTTGCAATCAATAAGTACAATAGAAGGATATCAAATTTATATTTGCATATTTTGTAATACAAAAATTACTGTTCGTTCTACTAATTAATTGCAATTAAACTCGGTACAGTCTTTAACTAAAAGGATGGAGTCGAATACAAAAATACTTATTAATATATTATTGATGTATATATATTTATTTACATTTCTTTCTTACAACTGGTGTAGAAGTTATGAAACTAAATTTGTGATTCCACTAGGTGTTCTGATGGAAAAAGTTTGAGCGGGTGGAAATATGAAAAATTTCGGAAACATTTGGTCTAATTAGCTTAAAATGATAAAATCCTATACAGTATAATTAGATCATTAAAATTTGACCATCAGTTCAACAGTATCCAGTCTTTGTGCTTTGACTCGATAGCCGATAACATGTCCTCGTTAGTGTGTATGATTTTCATCAATGACATATCCTCATTTACCACATTCTCCAAAAATAATTCTTTGGTTTAGACTGGAATTTTAGTGGATCTAGGATGCAGGTCAAGTTTCTAATGCCATATTATGCAAAACTATCTGTTAGATAATCAGTTACTGGATAAGTCTATTCATGGTGTTCTAATTGGACAAGCTGCTCTCACTTCCCACCACTTAACTAAGTTTATCTGGTCATTATTTTCTTTTTCCTCTCTTCAAGGTTAGCTATGAATGTCCTTTGTCCTTTTATATTGCATCTTACAATTTATAAGCTTTGTTATTTCATTAGAGAGTTTTGGCAAAGGAGACACAACTCCACTTACCCCAGAAAGAGCTGAACAAATTAAAGAAACAACTAAAGAATGCAGAAACTACCAAGGTTCAGGTCCTACTGGAGCTTGAAAATTCTAAAAGAGCAGTTGAGGATCTGTCACAGAAGCTTAAAGTTCTCAGTGAATCTAGAGAATTAGCGATCCAGGAAACAGATGCTTCAAAGAGTCGAGCAAAACAGCTTAAAGAAGAAAAATGTGGCAAACCTGATGGAACCAATGGTGCTTGGAAAGAAAAATTAGAAACTGCAGTTAAAAGGTATGCATCTTTTATTACAGACCTTGATGTTGCAAAGCAAGAACTGAGGCAAATTCATAAGGGGTTTGATTCATCCTTGGAAACAAGAGTTTCTGCTTTCAAGCAAGCAGCAGAAGCCGAAGATGCAATGAAGGCAAACACAGAAAGAGCATCTGAGCTATCTAAAGAAATTTTAGCTTTGCAGGAATCAATTGAGCAAATGAAGGTTGCATCTGTCCAAACACATCAACAGCAAGCAGATATGTTAGCTGAGAAAAATGTTCTAAGACAATCATATATAGCAGCCCTTGAAGAATCAGAAAAGAAATTGCTTGCTTTAACGAAGGGATTCAATCCAGAGCTCACCAAAAATCTTGATGTGCAGCTGACTGGGACAGTGAATGAAATCAGGGCTTTGCAAAAGGAAATGGAAAATAAAAAGACATCAGACTTGGACTCTGTGAAAAGTGTCACTTTGGAGCTTGATGATGCTAAGGAATCACTGCAGAAAGTAGCGAAAGAGGAAAACTCCCTTAGAAGATTGATGGAAGCTCTTAGGGTGGATCTGGAGAATGTTAAAAGAGTGCACTCTGAATTGAAGGAGAAAGAATACAAAAGTGAATCCATTATTCGGAATCTGCATGTCAAGCTCCGGAAGAGTGTGTCTGAGCTCAAAGTTTACTTGGCAGAAGAATCTAAAGTTAGAGGAACATCCGAGGAAATGATCTTGACATTGAAACAGTTGTCGTGTGAAACTGAAAATACACGGAAGGAAGTAAAAGATATGAAGAACAAGGCAGCGGAACTAAAGATGGTAGCTGCAGCTACTAAACTTGCATTAGAAGGTGCAGAAAGAAAGCTTAATGTAGCACTGGAAGAAGCAGAAGCAGCGAAAGCGGCAGAAGCAAGTGCTCTTCATCAGATTAGGGTCTTATATGAGAGGACTAATGCTGCTCGTGCCTCAACATCTGAATCTAGTGCTAAAATTACAATCTCAAGGGAGGAATTTGAGTTCTTAAGTGGTAAGGTTGAGGAGGTTGATAAATTAACGGACATCAAAGTGGCTGCTGCTGCAGCACAGGTTGAAGCTGTGAAGGCTGGTGAAAATGAGGCTATGAAAAGGTTAAAGGCAACTCAGAAGGAGATTGAGGATATAAAGACTGCAACACAGGAAGCTTTGAAAAAGGCAGAGATAGCTGAAGCAGCAAAGAAGGCAGTGGATAATGAGTTTACAAAATGGCGTAGGAAAGAACAGAAGAAAGCAGCAGAAGCTGCATCTCGAATATTGGCGCAGATGTCATCAGGATTAGAATTATATCCTCAGCAGAATCCACCTCCAAAGAACATGGAGGCGTGGAAGTTAGAAAAAGAGGTTGTTTCAGTTTCAAAGAAAGTTCTATTGCCTAATATTAGTGGCATCTTCCGCAGGAAAAAGAACCGGGTTGAGGGAGGATCTCCTTCTTACCTGCCTGGTGAGGATCCTGTATGAATTTTGTTCTAGCTTTGTGCAGCTCATTAATGTGAGAGAAACATATTGGTTTGTGATGAAAGTTGAATCCAATGCGATCAGATTTTGTCATCATAGTCTGAGGGAGAAGAATTTTGAATGTGAATAGTTTGGTTACAAATTCAGGGTGTATTTTATAAATGGAACTTCAGTAGTAGATTTTCATATATTGCTATTTCAGCTGATATTGAGGTATCATGACTGGTAGTATGGTGAACTATTTTAATTATGATGATAATAATTATAAAATAATTATACCCTGAAACTTTTTCTATCTAGTCCATTCTTCTTCTCGTTTACTTGATGCTTTATTCCTGATTTAGAGTAAAGAAAAAGTGAGACTTTGCTTGAAGCAATTCCTCCTTGAAAACATGTTACAAATAAGAAAATATTATCAAATTTGAATCGAAAATATGTTTTTACATTAGACACAATAAGATGGTTTGACCATCAACGAAGTTCCGACAAGAAAAATTGTCTGAGATTACTAAAAATAATTTAAATCTAAATAGATTTTTGAATGCTTAAATATAACAAATAATTGTGTCATTTAATTTATGAGAAAAATATAGTAAATGGAATAATTATTATATAATTTTTTCGTATAAAAAATTTGTATCTATTTTTATGATTTTGTCATATAAAATTTTATTACAAGAGGATTTGGTTGGTACATTAGACAAAATGCAACAACTGAATAACACGTGTCATATGACCCAATGGCCGACCCGATCTCACCATTGAATTCTAGTCATAATAGCACAGGAACGCAGCCTTCTCCAACATCATCAAACCCCTCAAAAGAGGAAAGAGGAAAAAGCGCGCACATAGACACACACACTCAACCCTGTCAGAGAGAGAGAGAGAGAGAGCACTTGGTTCATTCTCTTCACTTGTTGTTGGTCTCAAAGGTTCGAACTTTAACGTTGTGCACGATGATGGGGAGCAACAGAGAGAGAGAAGAAGCCCTCACATTCACAATCCCCTCATCCTCTTCTCATTCTTCCCCCATCACTGTCTCCGACCAACTCGACAGCTACCTCACTGACCCAAGAAGCGCCTCCGGAAGTTTCCAGAACGAGGGTCTTCTCTCCGCCGGCGAAGCCGCCGCCGCCGATTCCGAGTTCGGATTCTCGCGCCCCGATTTCCGACAAAGCCCCCTCGTTGGCACAGTTGAGTTGTATGAACGCCACTTGTTCCTCTGCTACAAGAACCCTCGGGTTTGGCCACCGCGAATCGAGGCTGCAGAGTTCGATCGTTTACCCAGGTTGCTCTATGCAGCCGTCGTGGCAAAAAAGAGCCATATGAAGAAGGAGGTACTGTCCCATACGGGTTTGGTTTATTGTTTTCTGTGTTTATTTTGTCTAGGACTCTAGGGTGTGATGTAAGTTTATGTAAGCTTTTGATTTGGGTCTTATAAATTTATTTTTTATTTTTTTTTGGTTGGGAAATGAATGATCCACTTGAAATTAGTTGGTGTTAGTTTTTTTTTTTCTTTCTAACTCTTACATTGAATTTTGTTGATTGATTGTGTTGATCTTATCTCTTTGCTAGACCCGCTTAACGATATGTGAGGGTCATGATGGGACTGAAACATCTAATGGGGATGTGTTAATCTTTCCTGACATGATCAGATACAGGTTATTTCAAGTTTTTTGTTTTGCAACTTCTGATTTTCCCTGATAAAGGTTCTCTGTTGTTTTCCCTCCCCAAGACCATTGTCGACAACAAATTTTAGTGGAATTGCAGGAGATTAACACATTTTGACGTTGATACATTTGTTGAAGAAGTTCTCGTGAAGGATGGAGAATGGCTTCCTGGAACCCCTGAAGCATTGAAAGGTTCATATGTTTTTGTATGTTCACATGGATCCCGTGATCGCAGATGTGGGGTTTGTGGACCTGTCTTGGTCAGTAGATTCAGGGAAGAGATAGAATTACATGGTCTTCAAGGTAAAGTGTTTGTTAGCCCGTGCTCACACATTGGGGGACATAAGTATGCAGGAAACGTCATTATATTTGGATCAAGCATGAATGGAGAAGTCACTGGGCACTGGTACGGAGAGGATCTGTGTGGTTATTAAAATTCCTTTTTGTGACAGAACTTTCTATTTTATTTACTACTTAAAATATTTAAATACCGTTATACCATTGTTTATTATATTGATTATGTAGCCGACTAATATTTTCTTCAACTAAAATATGTAGGTATGGATATGTTACCCCGGATGATGTACCGTTGTTGCTTCAACAGCATATCATAAAAGGGGAGATTTTTGACTCATTATGGAGGTTATTATTTTCTATTATGCTTTATTTCTTTATTGTTTTGGTTAAAAGGTTGTGTTTTCTCTTTTAAGTTTCATTCTCTAAAAGACAATAGCTGGGCTCTCTCTCTTCTGCTGGCTTTTGGTCTTTTGGGTGCAGTGGCTGGGCCTGACGGGTTAGAAGTAAATTTTACATAAAGTTTCTAGGGGTAGGCCAAGAAAGGTGAAATTTTAGTTACATTCACAAGGCTTTTTGTCATTTGCAAGTCACAATATCTAGAATTCAGAGAGGAAATGAAAGGTTACGGAAGAATCAACGTGCAAAATTCAAAGCTTTCTCAGAAATTAGTTTTAATACAAACAAGATTCTTTCACTCCTTGAGGATGTCTAAATTCTTTATTCAAAAATTTTCTTCAAATGAGGCAATGGCTTTATTTTTCGAAAATGGCTTCTTTACTTATATACCTAGACCTATATACCCTTTTTCTGTCAAGGGTTTAATATATGCTTTTATCTTTATCCTGATATTTGGAATAAAACCTCCATAAGTCAAATTTGGTTTCCATATTTTCAAATTGAAATTGTGGTCTGGCAAGAAGTGGTATGTTTGTAACCTTTATCTGATCCTGATGGTATGACAGCTTCGCTCCATACATCGTTAAGTGGCACCTATTTCTTGCCAGTTCTGTTGCTGACTCATGACTGTTTAAACTTTCTATTTACAAGTTATGCTCATAAAGTATGTTCTCCTAGCCAAATGAACTTAAACGTCAAATTTAAGCTGTAACTAAAACAAAGTATATGTGATGGATAGTTCCTCTTGCAATTGTATTGCTTTCTCTACCCCAGAATATTCAGAAACCCTAGCTTCACCCATGACATATCAATAACATCTCTTTCTGCCCCCTTCTTTGTGATGGGATGAAACTTATCCTTCGGGTGACAGGTTCCCCCTCTTGTGAAATCTGATATTGGCCTGCTGAAATCCTACACAGGGATATATAGCAGGCAACTCAGTTTTGATAACTCTCAAGCATAGATCCCCGTGGAACTTATGCTGACTTGTATTGGTTACTTTTTTTAACATTGCCATCAGGGGTCAAATGGGTTTATCAGAAAGTGAACAGATAGAAAAGCAAGAACAAAGACTTTTGCTGAATGGCATAAGAAATTTGGAAGAAAGCACTGCAGTTTGTAGATCTCAAGAGAATTTTGTGAGCTGCTGTCAATCAAATGGAGTGAGCTGCTGCCAAGAAATTGCAAACTCTTCCTTTTGTCAGAATCATGTATTAGTGGAAAAGAGAAAGGACCCTGATGTCATTGAGACGGAGGCGAAGCTCTCAGCTGATAATAAGAGCAGTGGAACTGTAATTTCTCGGATCAATAGTGGCAAAGGAGCTTCACGCAAGTTTCCTTCCTTGACAACATGGCTTGATGGCTGGGAGCAAGAAGATACTTATGCTGCTCTTGCTGTTGCCTGTGCTGCTGTGTCAGTCGCCGTTGCCTATAACTGCTACAAGCAATTGACATAAGAAGAATAATCCACATTGGCAGTGTTACTTAGTGGGTCAGATAACCTCAGCTTTATTATATCTGTATATTAGCTTCGTGTTGTTTGATGCTAGTGCAGTTCTTCTTTAGATGAATTCTTACTTGACATGCAAGGGAATGAGTGGGAGCTCAATCATTAATCTGGGTGTGTGTGCTTTACTGCTTGTGGAATATTATTGGCTGAGGAGGCACTTATATAATTTGCCGGTTAGCTTCATCTGTACATATAAGAAATCTTAGCCTCAGAGTCTTCAAATTAAACATTAATAGTTTGTTTAGGTAGAATTTGATTTGTAACGTTTTTCAATTTAATGTAAAGCTTTGGTTTTCCTTGAACTTGTTAGTTAATCCTAGTTTGGCGTTGCGCATGGGTAATAACTAATAAGTATCTTATCAGGACTTCGAAGGTGAAACACTTAATATAAAAGAATGCATCATATTCGGAGTCCTTTACCCTTGTTGTGAAGAGAAAGTGGAATCAGCTAGCTCCCGATCATAAATCCTTAAAAAATAGAAAGCAACCCTTATGTGAAGAAATCCAGGCTAATGTTAGCCCCTAGTTGTGTCAAGAAAAGGAGGGAGCATGAATATTATTGAGAAATGAAGTTGTGGTTCATAACAAATTGGCTTAATTATCCTAGGCTGGTATTTTTGGTTAATAAAAAAAAGTTTTATTGCAGGATAATAGATCACAATTTAGGAAAAATATTTTCTCCGATTGTTTTAGTAACCTGATGACTACTTAACTGAGGGTTATGAAGCTAGTTCCATGCATTCTGGCAAACTCAGTTTCTGCAGTCTTGGCGATTTTGGCATCATTTGGGTCCGGCTATGGTTATTCTATACAGAAAGACCCGTCTAATTGGTGATATGGACTTCATAAATATAGCATACTGCTTGATGTAATTGTAGAATTGTTTATGGAAAACTTTGTAATCAAAGGAGAAACAATTTTCAGTATTTAGTGCTACATAATGTCCGGGTAACTTCGTCTCCTCCTTTTTGCAAAAATGTGTGGCAAGGATGCATAGTCCATTACCTCTTCACAAGTTTTATAAACACTGTCGAGTATGTCAAAACTATTGCAGTTGAAACAAATCTAGGAAGAATGGAATAAATTCAATTTGGTAGTGCTACTTTTCAAGTCTCCATGACAGAGATATTATTAACGAGAAGAATAGTTAAGAAGGAGAATCATGGAAGCTCATATAATGCATCATCTGTAATAGAGGTAGTAAACGATAGAGATGTGCATGGGTCGAATCGAATCGGGTTTTTAAAAATTCGAACCGAATTGGTTTAAATGGTTCGGTTCGGTTCAAAACTGGTTTGGTTCGGTTCGGTTCAGAACCGGTTCGGGTCGACCCTCTTTTGAAAAGAAAAAAAATTAAACATTTAAAAAATAAAGTTATAAAAATCAATTTGGTTCAGTTTGAAAACGGTTCGGTTCAGTTTGGTTCAAAATAGTTCGGTTCCTAAACTGGTTTTAAAAACCGATTCGGTTCATGAACTGGTTCTTTAAAAATCAGTTCGGTTCATGAACTGGTTTTTAAAAATCGGTTATTTTAAAGTTCGATTCGGTTCGTGGTTCGGTTCAATTTTTTGGTTATTTTGCACACTCCTATTAAACCACACTGAACTGAGAAATTGTACTTCACTTATCAAATGATCCTTTAAACTCCTTTAAGAAGCTACTGCCCACAAAAGTTTAAACTTAATTCCCCAACGCAGGTGAGATACAAAAAGTAGGGAACCCTTGTAAAGAATGTGCTTTGTTATGTCCACTTCCAGTGACAAAGCATGATTGATTTTTTTGTTTCCCCGATGGCAAAGAATATTAATGTCCAAGTCTTGAGGAAATCTTATCTCTTAAGTAATTTTATCATTTTTGTTTCCTTTCCTTTCATTAACTTTTCTTTCCAGTATAGAAACTTGAAGTTCGGCAGCCGTTTAGCAAATCTTAAAAAAAGTTGGAAATCGAGTTTAAAGATTCAATAATATCCCGTTTCTAAATTTATGAAAAGGCATGTAGTACTTAATTTTCATTCAACAATATATATATGCGAAAAAAAGGAAGGTTATATTTACAAACTTGGTTATATTTACAAATTTTTTGTTTACGACTGGTCATATTTAATGTAATTTGTAAAAAAAAATTGTAAACGGATTCTCCCGCTATGCGATAACCTTTTCCATTTGCTTTAAGTTTACCATGGCCAACCGAAGATGAGATTTAGAAAGAAAATAAAAACATGGCAGAAGGGAGAAAGATATAGATAATGCCAAAGTGACAAGTTTTTTTCCATGTTAATGAACGATGCTCTTATAATTCAGAATTATGTAGTTAACTTGTTTAAAAAGGGGGATTCACCTCATTTAATGAAAGATGCGGTGTGGCTGCCAAAAGAACAGCACTAGAATGTGTTATTTTCTTGATCATTGCTGTTGGTTATTCTTAAAATACTTGTTCATACAATAAAATAAAATGGTGAATAGTTACACAAATCGATTTAAATGAAAAAAAAAAAAAACTGTTTCATGAGTCTTTAATTTTGCGGTGTAACTGATCACTTTGTGCCGTTTTCATTCCTATTGAGAGATTCTCTGTTATTGTTACTATCTTTGTGTTTTGTCTCCTCATTTTTTCAACATGCTTCATCAAGAGGAAGCGATGTTGCACATGGCTAGGTGTCAAAGATTGCTCAAGGGAAAGCTAGTGCTAGAAAGCTCACACTTAACAGGCATTTTGGAATCCAAGATCTAGAATCGCTTTGATCAACTCCATGTCCCTCAGCTTCAAAGAAAACTCACTCTATGGTCAAATCCCTGACCTCTCTGGTTTGGTCAATCTCAAAGAGTATATAATGGTTTATTTATTTATTTATTTTGTTTTTTTTAGTAAAAAAATGGGTTATTTATTAGTGATATAATGAGTCATTTAATCAATATTTAGTGGGATATAATGTGTCTCTCACTTCTATATTTTAGTTATAGTATTTGCTACAACAGACTTGTATATGATGAAGTATGAACAAAAAAGCATTTCCTTTCTTGTGGGTTTTATTAGTTTTGATTCAAATAGTAAAACTGAAATATAACAATGAACAGACACATTATACCCTGATAACTACTAATAAAAGGACTAATTAAAACTTCCAGCAAAAAAGCCTCATTATAATACAATAAGTGATCCCTTATACTTTTATAAATGATCCATTATATTAACTTTCTAATAGTCAGTAAAAATAAAAGAGACTCTTTAACAGTAAGTGATATGGTTCATCTCACTAATGGCTATAAATATATAAGCAGAGTCAGGATGCACACGCAATGATGGAGAACAAACTAACATTTACAGATTTCATATTAGACTAGAGACTCAATACTCTGGCCTCATTAGACTTAGAGGCAGGTTAGGACAATGTAACCTCAAGAGTATCCAACACTTCCAAATAAAATTGCATGTCAAACAGTAAAATACTCCTTGATGGCTTTCAATACCCGGTTTGCTACTTCTGGACCAAACAACCTTGGAAAGCTTGAACCCAAATCAAACTCTATAATATTGTTTCTAATGATACCATCCCTTTTTTTCAGATAAGCTCTGTCTGCCTCTCCTACTTCTCGCTTGGCACAAGCACAATGATCCAACCAGATTCCCAACACTTGCTTTGAAATGGGGTCCAAATGGTTCCTGATAATATCCTCCATGCGCTCTACTCCGCCATTTTCTGTCTGAATACGAACCATTATAGCTGTAGGAGAAGCAAAACTGCGGATGGAAAGGGATGGAGAGTAATAAGGTTGAACCTCTGGAAGTTTCTCCAGAGCCTGCCTATGTGTATCCAATTGAGTGTCCTCGTAGAAAGTTTTGAGGTCATCTGGCCAAAGCACAAGATCCTTCCGAGGAGTCAAATCAAGAACGAGAACTAGCATTGTTGGACCACTACGGATCAGGTCAAACACAAAATTTGGTGCATCATTTGAACTGTTAAGATAGGCTGAAAGACTTGTTATATCTAAGGATCCTCCTGTTGGTAGCTCAGAATGCACCCAGCTTCCCAATACAAAATCTATCTGAGACCAAAAAAAAAAAAGGACCAAATTCAGTATAAAATAAATTCCATTATTTTCCTTCCACATAAATAAATTCATTGAAAGGATGCAAGATAACGGATGAGTACATAATTTTAGTAATAACACAAGCTCATGAACATACAGATCAAAACCAAACATTCACAATGAGGGAACTATTATTTCTACCAGTGCAATACTTGAAGATGCTCCCAGAATACTGATCTTCTCTATATAAGAAAGATAAGTATATCATGATTGTTAATCAACCCTTAGGCTAAAGTATTAAAGAATAATCTTGTCATCACTTAGTCATCTGCAAGATAGGATAGTCTAATTGTTGGCTCCTAACTTAGCTGAAATTGCCATTCAAATTCAATAAGCACCAAAATATCTAAGTTGCCCATTTGCGTCAGTATCTAATTCCAACATAATAGATTGAGTACTCTGACCTCTTTGTAACTCCAATACTAAAATTTAGAAACTCATCATTCACTAAAAAAAAAAAAAAAAAAGCTGCAAGAGGACAACAATTTAACAAAAAGAAAGGAAAATAATTTGCAAGGGAGCATAAATAATTTGGGAGCTGGAAGGGGGGAAAAAAGCAAAAGAGAAAATTGAGAATAATTTAAGATTGTGAAAGCATTAAGGCAGAAGGTAAATTACTGGGGTGTTACTATGGCCTGCTCTGATATGCAGTGTAGCTTGGGCTGTACCACTCTGGCTTTGGTAACATTGAACATCAGGGGGAAGTGAGCAAGGAAGAAGGTGAGAGTGAAAGCGATTCTCTAGTGTCGAAACAAGATCAACCACGAGGTTCTTGTGGTTAGCAGACACGAAGGGAAACTCCAAAAATTTGGTGCGGCCTTGGTTGTGGGTCTCCATGAGAGAGCAAGAGACAGAAGAAGCAGCACAAAGTTGAAGCCTTGATGAAGAAGAAGAAGAAGAAGAAGAAGAAGAAGATAAGAGGGAGAGTGGCGAACAGAGAAAACGACGACAGATCATCACTTCCATAAACTCTGACTCCAAGATCCTTGTCCTCTCTTAACTAGTACACATCTCTGGTACATGTAATGTCCCTTCCACATGTTTTTTATCCTTCCAAATTTTTTTTTTTTAATTTATTACATTTGTTTTAAGTTATCTTGCTTTCATTTATGAAAAAAATTATATCATTTCAAAGGATACAAAGTTGTATCATTGTAAGTGATGTAAGTGAGAGAAGGAAATAAATCATGGAGAAGAGTGGAGGGAAAAAGTTTAAAAAATATTAGTTCCACTTCTTTGTGAGAGCGAAAGGATGTAAGGTGTGCCATTTAAAATGAAACACTTTTTTTCCTTTATTTATATATATGGGAAACGTGTTTGTCCTTTTAAATGACACAATTTATATCATTTCACTCTCATAAGTAGATGAGACCCACATTTTTATTTTTTATCCACTCTCTATCCCTTTTATCAACTTTACATCCTTTGAAATGACACTCAATTTTCTATATATATAGGGTTCGTTTTTTCTGCAGTAAGTCCAATATGACGTCATTTTGGGGCGGAAATCATTGTGTTTTTGTAATTTTAATTTATTTCAGGGTTTATAATAGTCTTTATAATTATAATTTTTTAATATTTCAATCCCAAAACGACGTCGTTTTGGAGTAAATGCAGATAACTTATCTGCAGAAATATTTTCCTGATATATATATGGGGAAACTTATTCTCATGCTACACATCCTTCCATAACTGTGCCATCTTTTTCTTTTTTTTTATTATTTTTTCAGGTGGTGGAGCCCACAAGTTTATCTCTATAATATGAGATAACTTATCTACTTTAACATGAGATTAATAAAACTATATATATATATATATATTTATATATGGGACAAGATCATTTGACATCGGTGTCAAATTATTTAACACTAAATCCTAACAGTTGATTTTCTCCAATCAATGATTATCATTTATTGTGAATTAATCATTAATTAATAAGTCTAATTTCCAATAAATGATAGTCGTTGATTGGCGAAAATCAACGATTAGTATTTGGTATCAAATTTCAAATTTTTACACCGATGATCAAATGATCCTATCCATATATATATATATATATATATATATATATATGGGCTTATCGTTTCTCAAGCTACTTGAGATAATTTTATCTTCGGCTACTAAATTATAACCGTACAAATATGTATCAATGGTGATAAAGAAAGAGAGAGAAAAAGGGAATCATAACCATTCAAAGGTGAATCAATTAATATAAGGAAATAAATAAACTAAACGACATAGTTTTGGGTGACCGGAGATAATCTTATCTCAAATTGTCGAAGAAATGTTTTGTCCATATATATATATATGGTCCTTTTTTCTCATGTTACATGAATTCCTGCAACCGTTTTTAACTATGTACTCTCGAAAGTACATAGTTATAATATTAAAGTTAATTTTTTTAAACTATTTGCTCCCGAGAGTACAAAATTCGAAAATTGTCGCTGGTTTTCTTTTACTTATGTATTTCTGAAAGTACAAAAACGATTTCAGGGATTCCTGGAAACACATTTTCATATATATATATATATATATATATATATATATATATATATATATATATATGTATGGTAAAATCATTTATGCAGCTGTTTTACGTACAGCAATGAAATGTGTATGGTTATGATTCCCCATATTTAATGCTTTCATTCTTTGTATGGTTATGATTTTCCGCATTTAATGCTTTCAAGTATATATATGGCAAATATTTGATTGCTGCATGTACAGTTAGGGGTGTAAATAGGCTAGGTTAGGCTAGGCTTTGATTAAATAGGCCAAGCCTGTGTAAAAAATATTGGGTCTGACCTAGCCTATTGGCCTATGTAGGCTCCAAATTATAAATTTAACCTGACCTATATTTAAAAAATAAAAGTCTTGGCCTAGGCCTGTTAGCCTGTTTAAGCCTATTAAACATTCAACAATTAAAAGAATGCTTTAATATTTCTACAGTGAATATAGAGAAGTTATCTACATTCGCTCTCAAAACGACATCGTTTTGGGTTAAAAAATTAAAAAATTATAATGAAAAATTATAATTACAAAAATACCTTGATATTCCCCTCAAAACAACATCATTTTGGGCTCAATGTAAATAAGTTATCTACATTTGTTGTAGAAAAAGTGAACCCTTAAAAGAATAATTAAAATAATATTACTTTATTATTCAAATTTAATAAAATAATAATTTTATTTAAAATAAATAATATGATATAGGCCGGCCTGTAGGCTTATAGACCCGATATGTACAAAAAAGCCTATGACCTACTTTCTAAATAGGTTTTTTTAAAAACCTAGGCCTGTTCTATTTTACTATTTGTAACAGGCTAAATCTGGCCTAATATAGGCTAAACCGTAGGCCCCCCTGTAAGCCGGCCTAGCCCATTTACACCCCTACGAACAACAGTTGCAGAAATGTAAACCCCTATATATATATATATGGGAAAAATATTTCTACAGTTAATGCAGATAAATTATTTGCATTTATTTCCAAAACGACGTCGTTTTGGTATTGAAATCTTAAAAAATATAAGTATAAAGACTATTATAACATTAAAATAAATTCAAATTACAAAACACCATGATTTCCGCCCTAAAACGACGTCGTATTGGGCTTACTGCAGATAACTTATATGCAGTAACTGCAGAAAAAGTGAACCCTATATATACATATAGGAAAAGTGTTTGTTATTTTAAATGATACAACTTGTGTCATTTCACTCTCACAAAGAGATGAGACCTACACCTTTATATTTTGTTGTCCACTCTCTCTCCTCCTTTATCTATCTCTTTCTCTTACTTAAAATGATATAACTTTACATCCTTTAAAATGATACACATTTTTTCCATATATTTATAGAGAGAGAGAAAAATAGAACCATGTAAATAAAACATGATTTCTTTTCATTATGATGATATATGACTAATTCAATTATTAACTAAAGTCAATAAATCATCAGCATTACGCAAAAAAAAGAGAGTTAAGGTTTCATAAATAAATATAAATATAAATATAAAGCAAAAAATTGTAAAGTTGATTTAAATTTAAATTTTCTATTTTATATAATTAGTCTTTATATAAATTTTCAGGTCAAACAAAAACAAAAACTTCTAATGAATTTCGGGGCATGTTTTGAAAAATAAACTCTAGCATACATTAATAAAGTCTAACCTATCATAACATATAGGTCATGATCCAAATTGAAACGTCTGTTTTATGCACTGCTTAATTTTTGAGTTTTATTAATTTCATGTGGTAGGAGAGTACTACTTTCCTATCATAGAAATAATTATTGGTGGAGTTCACTCACTTATAAAAAATTAAAAATTAAAAATTAAATTACACAAAAATCAATGGATGTGTAGGAAAGAGATATTATCTTATGTTGCATAAGAATAATATTTCCCTTAATTTTTCTTCATTTCTTCCTTTTTATTTATTTTTTCCTTTTAAATTGAGGAACTAAAGGCATGAGGCCCAGCACCCGTATTTGTTTAAGGAGTCCAAGTGACCCATTCGAACCTTGTTTCTTAGTTGGGCTGATCCATATAAGCCTTATTCTTTTGTTGGGCCACATAGTCAGAATCCTTTTGCCAATGAGCTGCGCTGTTTTCTAATTTTTAGCACGAAGGACAAAAAAGAAAAAATCAAAGTCATTACTCATTCCAAAATCATGTCAAAGCTTTTCGTGCCATTTTTTTTTATATATCCACCGGTTAATGATTATTCAATTAATTCAGTTCGAACACCATTAGACCCATTGTAGAGAATGGTTCTCCCAAGATTGTTTTTTAATTCTAACTCAAGATCTCTAGGTAAAAGAAATAATAGACACTTTTCCAATTTTTTTCATTTTTTCCGGCACTTTTCAAATAAAGGAACTTTGAATATAGCAAAATATATCAAACAACATTGCTTGACATGGAAAACCAAATAAGCAAATTATGACTTCTAATATTATCAAGTTATAGCAGCAAAGGATAACAGGCTTGTAAGTCAATACATTTGAAGAGAATAATTAAAAAGTTAAATCAATTTTCATTAATACAAAAAAAAATGAAATTATTTTTCATTTACAGCTTTTCTAATGGTGTTACTTGTTCACACAAAAAATGGGTCGTTATTTATTGCATTTGATTTTTACAATTTTTGCTTAAAAGACAGTCTCTCTAAGAAAATAATACTAAGACATTTTTTCTTCAATGCATGGCATAACAAGCAGATATTTATGAGAGGGAAATTTTGGTTACTGACTCATTTAAATCGAACACCATTTATGCGTACATGCATTTGGTTTTCATTAACCATCAACTTCTTTATCAACTAGTACATAATTTTGACTTATTCAACTGCTATGGTTTTGTTGGATTTGTGCTCTTTTATTTAAATCCGATTGGATTAAGAATATGAGAAGAGAACAGAAAATCTAAAGCCCAAAGAGCTTAGGGCTACAATTTTTTGGTACATATATATATTCTCCAATTTTAGCTATTAGTCTTTAGTCTTCAGTTGCTGCATTAGTTAAGGTAAGTTAATCTTTATGAAAGTGAGAAAGCACTCACACACTGACCCATTCCTCCTTGAGAGATAGCTTGAAAGATTTACCAGAAGAAATCTTCAATAAGAAGCATAGGACCTACACAAGAGATATTTCTTGTGGGTCTACACTACAAGAGATAATTTGAACTATGATGATTCGTTGCACTCCCCTGATCTAATTGCGCCTACATGATTTTCTTTAACATATATTTATCTCTTTTTTGTAAAATTTATTACTGATCGTATGTTCCAACAACTAAAGAATATGATTGTTTGATATGCTCTAGAGTAGCTGAAATATTGTCTGATGTTGTTGATAAAATTTCAAATCAAATACGTTGCTTGGTCCTTCCTTACTTGTTAAGAAGTTTTAATTATGGCATGATGTTCTTTTCTGCCATTTATGTTATTCAGCATAATTTCAATTAACTCAATAGGGCAAACTTTTTTGGCTATCCAATATCAACATG